TACAAATTATTCACTTACATTGCTATGTAGTCGTAACATAATTATTATACTTACGTTTTCTTATAAAATAATCGGGCCTACGTACTTTTATAACGATATATCTTGTCATTTTTTCTAACGACAACCGCGACTACCAGATTAATTAAATTAATGATTTTTTAAAAAAAGATCGGAAATTATTCCGGATCGGAAAAAATATTAATTTTAATGTATTTGTACGAAAAATTCCCCTGCGGAAAGGGGTGAAAATAAGCCAAATCAATCTATCTTATTATGTTTCCTTTATTTTAATTAGACTAACGCAGTGTAAAAAAAATAAAAAAAATGTACGAAAAATTCTTTTGGCCAATGCGGGTTCAGGGAAAACCAGAGTTTTGTAAAATGAGGAAAGGGTCAGATTTAGAATTAAACACTCGATTGGTTTTGCACCCTGGTGCAATATATGGAAATTCGTTTTTTACTGCTACATCGTATACTTATGTAGTCTAATTAGGAAAAAGCCTACTGCATGCATATGTTACAATTATTATAATACCTTAATCTCTCATTTTCCTCCACATTTATTTGGCCCATCTATTTTCAAACCCATTATTATAACTACAAGGAAAACGTATAAAGTACGTGTTACATATTTGATAGACTATCTCCCTCGAACCGATAAACTTTTTGGAATGAACAGACTTTTTATTGAGCACCTGAGCCAAAAATAGAAGCATTAAGAATTCAAATCAACAGAGTGCTGTGAATTCGATGTGTAGGTAGATACACGTATAAAGATGTAGTTTTAAATATTTATCAAATGTCTTATATTTATTTTTAGAAATACAATGCTTGTTTTTGATTCTTGGATTTGAAAATTTCGCTGGATGTAAATGGGGAAACGTGTTATTTTGTTTCAAGTGTAGGTTGAACGACTTTGCGTTACTTTTGTTGACGAATAGACATTTTTGAAAAGATATTTTTTTCCTTTGTCAATCGAGTCTCCAATACGATGTTGTCGACTATACTGCCAGTGTCGAGTGGTGACGGCAGATTAATGCACCGTTGAACTTAACTTTGCGGTAGTTTTTAGTTGTTAGTAGCTGAAAGGACAAAACAATAGGGTTAGCAAACATATACCGTCAATAGACCTAAAATTATAATATTATTACCTAACACAAAATAGATAATTAGATACATAATAGGGAAACAATCATAACACACAATATTTTAATATTATTTTCTTTGATTTGGACAAGCACTTAATTAATTTGTAAGAAAAAATAGTTAGAAGGGAATGGAAGTTGGTTGGAAGAGGGATTTGGATTTTGGGAAGGTTTCCATATAAATCTAAGGACTGGGAATTTAGAGGGCAAGAGAAAAATATGTGGTCTAGGGTTCCCTCATCAAGACCACATTCAAGAGATATACCTAATATTATATTCTATACCAAATTACAGCATCAACTTAACTATGGTTGGGCTCCAAAAGTCAACGTGACCGTCTCTACCAGGGTATAGTTGGGTGAGTGATTATCTAATTTGTCCTTGATAACGTAATCAATTCGGTAGTTTGTCACTAAAGGACAGGGGTTGAATCAGGGCTACCAACGTCCTTTGGAGCATGTCTTTGTCTTTGAATATTATGTGTGACAGCAAAAGTTCAATGGCCAGTATTTAGCATTTTCATATTTTTTACTATTACCTGGATGTACTGACTGCCTCGTTGGCCGAGTGGTCGCAAGTGCGACTGCCGGGCAAGGGGTCTCGGGTTCGATTCCCGGATCGGGCAAAGTATAACTGGGTTTTAAAAAAAAATCTCAGTAGTAACACGGAATCTGGAAATGTGCCCGGTATATGGCAATAGGCTCATCCCCTATGACATGGGACTCATAACATAAATAGTGAAAAGTGGGTGTTACTTCTGTGTGCACCTCTGCCTACGCCTTCGGGGATAAAAGGCGTGATGTTATGTTATGTTATTTGGATGTACCTTGTCGCTCTAATATTATAATTTATAGGTATATTAAAGGATTACGCAAACTGTAGTTCTTAGGTGCTCCTAAGGATTATATTTAAGTTACATTTCGCGTGTGAAACTAGGTGGGAACACTGTTGAAAACCGAAAAAACTTAAAACTAGTGTTTGAGTGAAAAACTGCTATCGCCCCTAATGATTTACATCGTGGACAGCAGATGGTACAATACTGACATTTAACAAATGACTTGAAGATCATTATGTTAAAGTTAATTAGTGCTGACCCCTAGTTTGTTGGGAAAAGGCAGTAGATATAAATATACTTATAGTCACAGTTAACCAGTTATGCTATGGATCCCATGTTTAGCTGTATAGTTTATAGGGATGAGCCTATATCTAAACATTGGTTACAATAGGGTAGATGCCTAATTTTTATTTAAACTGTTAAACACCGCGAGCACACCGGTGACCGCAACCTTTTGTTCTTTAATTGTGTTTATAATGACGGTACTCAAAGGGTTAATGTCCGTCTGGTAGATTATTTTAAATCATTAGACACGTATTTTTTATTTTCTTACAGAAACGAATACTTTCGACGGTATATTGATTTAAAATGTCGCGTGACGTCACTTCTATGTACATTTTATACGTAGAAATGACGTTTTAGCGCCCACTCCTAAACTTTGTTTTACTATACGACAAAATAAAAACATACGTGTCTAATATTTTTCATTACCAAACTTACGGACTAATTATATTTTTAATTTTCATTACCCGTCATCATCTCAATTGCAAATTACATGCTTTTAATAATAGTTTTTGAAACCTAAATAATACTATTTACGTAACCCGGGAATCCAGCTGAAGACTCCTTACTTGGCATTAGCACATACCTATGATCATTCGATTATACATTTCGTTAGGTTTATATCGCATGCAAAAAATATGCCAACAATAATATAATTTGTGATATAATAGTTCACCAAACGTCCTTATATATAACAGCAACCACAACATACATTTTGTTCTCTAGTCGTTGTTTCACTAGATTTTTTTTTGGGACAAGCCCGCCACAACCTCCCAAAACCGCTGCAACTCCTGTAAGCCAGGATCTACAGTATATACCTCTAAAACCATGAAAACACCGGAACATTGAAGTTCGGCGCGTCCCAGGGATATGAGTAACTGTCTTGGTTCCCGCAACGAAGTGAATCAGAAGATATTATAAGAGGATAAGAAGAAATAACTATAGTTTCCACTTCCCTCGGTGAATTATTGCAGGAGACAGAATGAATTAAGCCTAAAGGCACAAAGAAGAGACTGTACAACTGGGTGAAGCCCAGTCGCCACGGAAATTTGACTAATAAACTAAGTGGGTCCTATGTGTGAGCTGTTATACTTGCTTCCAATAATAGATATGGCAAAAGCGCCTAAACGCACGGAAATTTGTTCTAGATTCCACAAGGTCCGTATAATAAGCTACACCTGACGAAACAAATACCATTTGTTTGCATAAGTTGCAAAGATTTTTTTTTTTAAATATCTTTACTTTTTTGGAGGCTTTTACCCTACAAAGGTATGTTAGTCTCATCATATCCTAATGATATGATGTCGCGCAGCCTACTCCATCGCCGCGACCTTTTATTACACACATTTTTCGTTAAGTATCCAAACTTCCTGGATGGAAAGTTGTGACGAAATAAAGTTGGTAGTGTCATACCCACATTCGTAATGAACTCAACTATGTACACACTGTTTATCCTGGTGTCGCATAGCATCATCTTTCCGCACATTTAACGTTCAGTTTATACTGGTTATGTAAAGCTCGATGTGTAGCCGTGTGTACACTATTAACTTATTTGTCGAGCCAGCCACTCTCCGTTCGTTTCCTGGATGCGTCCCAGTTTACTCAAAGACACGTTTTTGGAGATATTCCAGATCTAAATGCTCTTGGGTGAAGTTTATCGGTACAATTTATTGAGATTTTTAACCTCTTGGCTGTTTTGTTGACCTCGTTCGTATAACGTATGTGCTTCACTTTGAAACTGATAAAACTTGGGTTAAGTTATTGGCTGTACGGCTCGCATTCCTATGTTGAATGTTTGTAATGTATAGTCTGCAGTTTATACAGATCGGGTTTACCTCTAATTTGGACCGTATGGTATTAGTAATTAGGTAGGTACATATTTTGTGAAATGAAAAGGAAATATATTTTAAACAACATAGTCTTTTTAAGATGGTTCTGGAATAGAAATTGCGAATATCATTCAATAACGAAATTACATAATTATGTGATTTTGGTAACAAAGGTAATGTCAGGGCCGTGGGGTCCAATGTACATCTGTAAAGGGGATGGTTGACACTTCAGGTGATCAAAAGGCTGGCTACTACCTTGGGTTAAAGTTAAGCATTGCCATTCAACGTGGCAATGCTGCCAGTCTTTTGAGCACCTTACCTCATGACAATAATGAGGATAATTTCTATGATGCGTTAAGCTGAAATAAAAAAAATTAAGGTAATTTTAAGGTGTAAATATTTTAGTTTTTAGATTTATAATATAAATATTCGTTTAAATTTAGAGTAATGGTATATGTCAGTAGCTTATAAATATATTTTCATCACTCACTCACAATCTTAAACATTTTTCACCTAACTAAAATTAATTTTTAACTCACTTTTCTTTAAAAGGTGCACTTGTATAATTGTACAATTTTACTAAGTCACCCTGTAGTAATGAGAGCAGCATCGTCAGTATTATTTAGAAAGGTTTAGGATCAGTTAATTGGTCCATTACACCAAATGGAACATAAAATCGAGGAAGCTATTTGATAATAATTAGACTGTTGCCATCGTAAACGTAATAATCCTTCCGGACTAGCTATGTCGGTAATTCGGGTTTGTGTAAACACTGTCGATTATTGTTTAGAGGATATGTTAATTATTATTATTCTTTACACGACTTCAAAAAAGGAGGTTCTCAATTGGACCAGTATGTATGTATGTTTGTGCGCAATTATCACGCGATTGGCTGAGTGTGGGAGAGCCATGCTTCGGCACGAATGGGCCGGGTCGACCGGAGTGATACCACGGCCTCACAGAAAACCGACGTGAAGGAACGCTTGCGTTGTGTTTCGTCGTGTGAGTTAAGTTACCGGAGGCCCAATTACCCTCCCCTTCCCCAATCTCCCCAATTCCTGAATCCCCAACGATCCTCAAACTCCTAATTCCCAAAAGGCCGGTAACGCACTAGTAACGCCTCTGGTGTTCCATGTATCCATGGGCGACGCCGATTGCTTACCATCAGGTGATCCGTCTGCTCGTTTACCGGCTTATGGCATAAAAAAAAACGATTTTAACGCGGTTTTCAGAAAAGTGTTTCTTACACTTAGGAGAAGGTTTAAATATATAAATTATCCAAATTAAAAAACAGAGGGGATTAAAGTTGATTTTTTTAACGTAGTTTATAATTCATAAAGGTCGTGTGTCAAAAATTGTACAAGGTACTTAAAGAATAATTTTACGAGGTTGGATTAAAAGTAAGTACTTTTTAGCGGACACAGGTACATGTACCTGTGTGGGACATCCCAAGACTGCAACCAACTATCGAGAGACGAGCAAGAGAAATCTATATTTTGAGTGAAATAAATGATTTCGTGTTTTAGTGTTTATCTTTAACAAGATGAAGTTGTGCTTTAAGTTAACCTAGATTCATCTTCAGCAACTGTCGGGTAAATAACTATTGCCGGAATACTGAAACGTTACTCAATTTTAAGTCGTGCTCAAATATCGTGCCATCTCTGTCATTTTACAAAGAATTTGTAGAGACAGAACTATACTTAAGCACGACTTAAAATTGAGTAGCGTTTCAGTATTCCGACATGTCACGTATTGTATCAAAAAAAGGTTTACATAACAAATCTTCTACAAGCTACACGCCATGTTTACGATCACTCGAATGTGGCAACTCATGTAGTTGGCAAATTGCCTGGCAAGATTACAGAGCATCGATATGTATTGATGATGTCGGGTTACAAGTGTTTTTGGTAACCAATCTTTATTCTCCTAGTTAATTATATAAATATCAACAAAACATAACATCACGCCTTTTATCCTCGAAGGGGTAGGCCGGTTTGCCCGACCCGGGAATCGAACCCGAGACCTCTTGCCCGGCAGTCACACTTGCGACCACTCGGCCAACGAGGCAGCCAGCTTTATTATATACACATTACCATAACATCACGCTTTTTATTCTAGTAGGAGTGCACATTACGGGCCTTAATGCCACTGTACAATGTAACACTTTTCACTACTTATATTATGAGTCCCATGTAATAGGGAGTGAACCTATTGCCATACACCGGACACATTTCCAGCCTCAGTTCTATTACTGAGTTTAAAAAATAGGACTATGCCCAAACCGGGGAAAGTTAATTAATTAAACCACAATAAATACTAAAAATAAAAGTGTGAAAGCGTATCTGTCTATTTGTTTGTTGTTCGTCTTTCACGGCAAAACAGAGTGACGAATTGATGTGATTATTTAAATGGAGTTAGTTGAAAGAATGGAGAGTAACATAGGCTGTAAGACATCACACTATGATCAATAGGAGTCAAGCAAGGGGTGAAACCTCGTGGGAAATAGTATACATGTCGTGGCCATATAACTAGGAATAGTATTCGTGAAGTGGTTGCATTTTATGTATTGTGTGAACTATTTATTGGTCACATCATTATGTGAACTGGGTAAATCAATGACTAAAAACCATTTCTCCATGTGGACTATCAAGCGCGCGAATACTTCATGAAATACTCGCGTGATTTGAAGAAAAATAAACATAAAGTTTTCGAATAAAAAAATCAAGAACGTACCTTAACGTCTATTAATGTAATTCTAAGTTAAAAAAACTGGAATAGAAGTCAATTTAAATAGCTATATTTCTACCCTTGTTCCGAGAAACGAAGAGGAAGACCTTTATCTTGGAAAAGCAGATGTTTTAATCTATTATTTTCCACTTGAACCTCCTAAAGTTTTGTTCCTTAAGGAAAGTACATTTCCGTATAAAGTAATTTTCTGCACCATCCACACGTCTGCCGCCTATCATGCTAGATTGAAACGAACGCGCTAGTGATGTGCTGCGTTTCTAGTCTATCGATATTTTAGTCTAAGTTGTTGATGATGAAAAATAGATTGAAATCAAACTTATTAAAAAAAAACAAATTTAGTTTACTGCCTAGCCATCCTTTCCATCAATAACCTTTAATTGAATTAGTTTTTTAATTATTTTAAAAATTCCCATTCGTACGTTATGTTCACAAACATGTAATAAAAGAAGAAAATCTTTTAGTTAGACCATTGATATTACTTATTTATAAAGCTATCAAAAATAGTCGTTAAAACACTCCTTAATTATTTAGATAATGGCCACACAAAACCTTTCATTTTTTTATGGGATTTTTTTTTTTTTTTATGGGGGGAAAATCATCGAATTACTGCTCCCGCCTGGGTGAGGCGGAAGGGAGTGTCAGACTCTTACTGACTAAAAACCACCCCGTTCCTTCTCCTGCACGTCGAGCCGGAGCCCCGGTTACCCGTTAGGTTCTCCGCGACTCCGAATCGGCATCGGCCCTATTGGGCCCCATCTGTGGTGGTCTGATGGCTCTTTGAGGCGCGCGCGGAACGCGACGCGCCGTACGCTCGGGTCTGTTTCTGGTCGGACGGGGAGCCACCCATGCTCGCCGTCCGCAGGCCCGCGCTTACGGTGGCCGGAGATCGTCCCGCAATCCCCGACGCCCGGTGTGTCCTTCGCGATGGCTGGGTTGCGAGGAGGCAGCGCTTCGCTGCCTCACGCGTCCTGCCTCCTCCTTAGCTAGCATGACTGCTTCGCAAAAGGAGGAGACGGCATCCCAGTCCCCCTCGCTTTTTTTATGGGATAAGCCGGTAAACAAGCAGATGGATCACCTGATGGTAAGCAATCGGCGTCGCCCATGGACACCTGGAACACCATAGGCGTTACAAGTGCGTTACCGACCTTTTAGGGATTAGGGGTTTGAGAATCGTTGGGAATTCAGAAATTGGGGAGATTTGGGAAGGGGAGGGTATTTGGGCCTCCGATAACCTCACTCACACGACGAAACACAACGCAAGCGTTGCTTCACGTCGGTTTTCTGTGAGGCCGTGGTATCACTCCGGTCGAGCCGGCCCATTCGTGCCGAAGCATGGCTCTCCCACACTTAATTAAATAAAACCAAACTTGTTGATCTTAATAACAACATTACTAGAATGAAATGGTTACATACAGGTACACCACTCATGTAGCCACATTACTTATAATGTTATATTGTATTTTACCCTTAATTACAATTCCATTCAACTAACGAACCTTTCCATTACATTGCAGATTGTGTCGACAGAACTGAAATTGTCACTGATATTCTGTTTGTTGATATAGTTTAAATATACGACTCTACACGTGACCAGAGGGCTGGCTTTTTCTTCGGACAGAAAATAAGCATTGCCATTCAACGTGGCAATGCTGCCAGTCTTCTGGGAACTTTCCCCTGTGATAGTGATGCGGACGAATACTTTGACGCCTAAATTAAGGGTATAATTTTTGTTGTTTTCTTTTACTTTCTTTTTATTTAATAGTTTAGTTGTCGTTAATTTTAAGTTTAAATATTCGATTATACTGTTAAATTTTTAATATGGCTGCAATCATGAGTTGGAGATTTTATTTGTTTATTCCATTCGCTGTATGGGACAGAGAAACAAACATGGGTTAAAGTAATGGGCGTAATGGGTATTACCGTAAGTGGTATCGCGTCCGTGAATCGCAGATAGATAACTATTCAAAGGAATATAGTTATCTGTATCACTCTTCGCTCTCTTAAACATATCTAGGCGCCGCCAACTGGGACTGGTCAGCTCCAGTCTGCATTATTTATTGTCCTTAAGGTTATTTTCTTTTTCGATCTCTTTGACTGGATTTTGGTGTTACATTGTTCTTGCATAATCGAACCAATATGAGAACCTCCTCCTTTTTTTGAAGTCGTTATAAAACTATGTAACTTTTTTTTTTTTGGAGTAGGAATGCACACCTGGGATTGAGCAAATAGCTTCACTTTTAATTTATTTTTTAGTTGACGTTCAAAAGGGCCTTTCTGGTCTAATTGAAATAAATAATTTTGACTTTGACCAAAAAATATATATATGTAAGAAAGAAAGAAAAGAGCGCACTCCTTTTTAAAAGGCCGTCAACGCACCTGTGGCTCCTGTGGTGTTGTGGGTGTCCATGGGCGGCGCTGATCGCTTACCATCAGGTGATCTGTTTGCTCCTTGCCTCCTATTCCATAAAAAAAGGCCCGTTGCAAAGACAAAGTTTAAAGTTATTTTGTATTATAACAGATATAAAAACATAACATTTTTATAATATTTATCGATATAACTTCTTACTCACCGCACTACGGCCAGTATCAAATGAGTATTAGAATACTTTTAATACGATTTCTCGCAACGTGATTGTGAGTGGCAGTGTTTACTCTGATTCATGGCGTTCAATAGTCTCAACTCTCAACTTTATTGGATTTACATTGAGGAAAACTGACCCGTAGCTGAAGTGAATAGTCTTTTTAAGGTTTAGTGTACATACATACATAACATCACGCCTTTTATCCCTGAAGGGGTAGGCAGAGGTGTACATTATGCCACTGTACAATATAACACCCACTTTTCACTATTTATGTTATGAGACCCATGATATAGGGGGTGAGCCTATTGCCATATAACCGTTCACAAATCCAGACTCCGTGCTACTACTGAGATTTTTTTTAAATCCCAGTAATCGTTTGCCCGACCCGGGAATCGAACCCGAGACCCCTTACCCAGGAGTCGCACTTGCGACCACTCTCTCAACGCAGTTTTACTATACAGTACACTATGAGTTAAAAAATGGTGGATATCGTCTCGTGGGTCAGAAAAAGATTTAAACTATATTATAGATTCACAAGCGTGGGTATTAAGACACATGTAATATGCATACAGATCGTATTATAAGCTAGAACCGTGTATGTAATGGTAATACGCTGGGTTATTATCACCAAAATGTAAATAACACATTTAAAAATATTCAAATAAGACGTGAAAGTAAAAATAACAAACTAAATGTTTACATTATATTTTCATTTCATGAATTTCATAAGATTATTATTTCATGAGATCAAACAAAATTTTAATGGTAATTAATATACTGGTATAATTTTATTAACTGAACTCCGGACATTGATTGTATTGTTATAACTTGATTTTAATGTAGTAACCAAGTAGTAGTACTCAGAGTCATTTAATGACTACTTATCCCAGACCTTAGCAATTTTCTTAGTTTTCGGAACAAAATCCTTACAAAGGAATAATTTTAGTAATCAATAGATGTCTCTGAGTATCGCAGTAAGGGCCGATTTCTCCATCGCCAGATTAATTTAAACTTTTTTTATGGCATAAGCCGGTAAACGAGCAGACGGATCACCTGATGGTAAGCAATCGGCGTCGCCCATGGACACCTGGAACACCAAAGGCGTTACAAGTGCGTTACCGGCCTTTTGGGGATTAGGAGTTTGAGGATTGTTGGGGATTCAGGGATTGTGGAGATTGGGGAAGGGGAGGGTAATTGGGCCTTCAGTAACCTCACTCACACGACGAAACACAACGCAAGCGTTGCTTCACGTCGGTTTTCTGTGAGGCCGTGGTATCACTCCGGTCGAGCCGGCCCATTCGTGCTGAAGCATGGCTCTCCCAAGTCCCACACTTAAAATTGACTGAGGAATAATTGAATATTTGATAATACTTCCACATTAAAAACTGTCAACTGTCAATTTCATTGTGCATATTAGGAATTAACTGAATTAAATTTATCTTGCGTTTGAAAAATCATTCCTTAAAGTAGTTTAAAGAATTGATAAAAATACTATTTCATTTTCAGTCACAATAATTATTAATTCAATTAAAAATAGTTTGATGTTCTTTATTCAGACTTTTGTTAAAGATTCGCTGTATCATTTTGGTCACTGTTCAAGGGTTATATGTACGGCACTCGGCAGACTGGCAAAGGTTCGCATCCTGGACACTCAGGTGGTATATACACTATACATTCCTCTTCTCCAAGACAGATGTGGTCATCACAGACATCTAGGGATGAGTAACAGGACCGGTAGGCTAGAAAAGAAAAAAAACATGTCAATTTTCCACGGGTAAAGAGTTTTGTTAAAAAGCATGATTAATTATATAACATAACATCACGCCTTTTATCCCCGAAGGGGTAGGCAGAGGTGCACATTATAGTACTGTACAATGTAACGCCCACTTTTCACTATTTATGTTATAAGTCCCATGTAATAGGGGGTGAGCCTATTGCCATATACCGGGCACAATGCCAGACTCTGTGCTACTACTGAGAATATTAAAAAAACCTACTTTGCCCGACACGGGAATCGAACCCGAGACCCCCGGCAGTGGCACTTGCGACCACTTCACCAACGAGACAGTAAAATACTAGCAAAATCCCAAATCATATATTTTTAAATTAAAATGTTGCATTAGTAAGTCCCTACATTCGTCTTAACAATAAGAATCTAAATCTCAACACATTCTAACAGACAACAGGAAAATCTAACAAAAGTAACACATTCAACATCTATTGTAACATAAGTACGTGCATTGTACATCATGTATTATTCACACAATGTATGATATCTGATGGATGCATGACAGACATGCTGACATCCAGTCACTCATGTTAAGTAACATCATTATCCAGGCATTACGTTAGGCAGCTCATTAAAACCTAAAATTAGTTATAGTCTATTTTACTGTAGTTCATATTTTTGGGCAGTATAGGCTTTGCAATGGTCCTAATTGTGTTATTTATGACCTAAAGAATAAAGTTGTCGGTACATTAAATATCGTAGACAATAATTATTCTGCTTTTAATCTTCAGGAGAACGAATCTTCAGGAGAAGGCATACTGTGCACCTCTGCCTACCCCTTCGAGGATAAATGATGCTATGTTCCAGTATTTTGTCAGAGGCTTTGAGCAATGCAGCACGATCTATTGTAATGATGTTGCAGCAGTGCTGACGATGCTACGATGGGTTGACGTAGTCTATTGGTTAAAGGCTCCTAAAATTAAATAGAATAAAAAAAGATGAGTATAAAATAATTCTGGATTTTGTAAATTTCAATATAATATTCTCTCTAGCGATATAAGGTGTGCAACTGGATTAGGTGTTGCATTTAAAGTTTCCCTCGGCTTCATCGTCAATGAGTAAAATTGTATCAAATGACATAAAAGCCTACCATTTTAGTCACAAAAATACATCGAATAAATAATATCAGATTTTGCTTTAGACTGCTGCACGTATCACAATGAATCCTGCGACCTTGTCCACTATGAACTATCATATACAATGACATAAA